AGACCGCCTCCTGCGATTCTAAGGGGGTGACTCCAGTACCTCCCTGGTCCCCTGAGGGCCCCTTGCTCTGCCCTCAAATCCACTGAGAACGCTGTCAGAATCTAGCTCTGCTGCAGTGTGAGCTCAGCCTGGAATGCCTTTGAGGAGCCCAGGGCAGGGAGCCAGGGCCCCTCCTCTCTGGGAGAAGGACACAAAGACAGGTCTGTCCCTGCTGGGCTCCTGGAAGACTTCATGCTCACCTCTGGCCTGCAGCAGGGAGGGCTGCTGCCCCGGCTTTGCAGGGGACGGGGTGGCCTGTCCTCGGGACACAGACACCATCAGGGAGGGTCTAGCTGTGGAAACACGTCCAGCAACACTTGACCTCCCAGCTGTGCTGGAAGTCCGGCCCCTCCGCCAACTGCAAGGTCAGGCCCAGTAGCAGTGACCAGACATCTGTCTCTCAAAACAGTGAGGGCTTGGCAGGCAGGGTCTGCAGACAAGAGGGTCAGAACACCGGCAGCCAGGATTGGACTCGAATCTGTCCACACTGGGAGACACATCAGGCTCCTTATGCAGGTTTGTCAGGGGTGCCGGGGAGCACGGTCTCTCTCTTCTTTACACTGGGGGTGGGGCACTGCTGGGGAGCCAGGATGAACTCGCAGGCCCTGTACGCTTTGTGCAGCTGTGTGCATTCACAGATGAGCAAGGAGATGACGTGTGCGGTCTGCTGTTTGCACTCCTGATAGACTGAGTCGTAATATTTATTTTCTTTGACGTTGGTAATCTTTCCAAGGAGTGAACGGCCAGGGAACAGCATAGAGCGGTAACAGTGTGCACAGTGGCACTAAAGGTGTGTGTGTGTGTGTGTGTGTGTGTGAGAGAGAGAGAGAGAGAGAGAAGTGCCTGCCTGCCATGGCAGTCACTCACAGCAATGACAGCAGCTGCTTGCCTAGTGCTTTACTGCTCAAAGCAGTTCGTTCCTCTAATCTCCACTGTCACCCCCACCCCACCCCGAGCTAAGCCCTGAGATGGTCCTTGTTTCACAGCTGAGTAAACTGAGGCTCCGCCAAGGCAAGTCAGGAACCTCTGACCCAGAGTCAGCAATTGTAGAGGGCAGAATTCAAACACAGGCAAGCTGCCGCTCCCCCACGGTGCCGCCCACCATGGAGGGTCAGCAGATGGGAGTGTGTGGGGAGACCCTGAGACGGAGAAGCAGGCCTGGAGGCAGAAGTCTGTCCACCCCCAGGGACTGCAGAGTCCCTGGCCTGGCTGAGCAGAAGCCTGGGGACTCCAGGGTGGGGCTCTGTAGGCTCCTGTCCCCTTCTGGTTATCAGTCTTTCCAGACACACATACAGGCAGCAGGGCCCCCAAGGGGAGCTGCCTCACCATCTGATTTTCCACCCTGCTCTTGGTCACAGCTCGATGAATGGGAGGAAGGGCGGGAGGCAGGGTCCTTCCAAGAGAGACCAGCAGGGACCCTGGGAGAGGAGTCTGGTGCACAGCCTCTAGGCCATGGGTTCTTTGGGGGGACTCCCCCAATCCTATCTCCTTCTTTCACGGTCCCCACCCCTCCCTCTGCCTCAGTCTCCACCTCCATCTGCCTCAGCCTCCTGTCGGCTCTCTTTTACTTTCTCCTTAGAAATCCTTACCTGTTGCTCTATC